ACTATTCAGAATTTAACGACTATCGTTAAATAATATTCATTTTAAGAGAAGTGCAAACACGAATAAATTGTTTTGCTATAAAAAAATTATTAAACAGTACAAAATTTTAAATGTATTAAAAAAAAAAAAAAAACAAAAGTCGATCAATAATATCAATCCAAAGTATCAAAAAACTTGATAAATGACAAAGAAGAGTTAACTAGTATTACAAGTCTTTCCAGTTTCTTAAATTGATTATAATTCAAAGATTATGCGTTCCACATTATGTACTAAAAACTACGAAAACTTTCAGAAAATGCAGCATTAAGAATCTCATTAAATTTCAAGTCACGAGTCATAGACTAGTCGTGTCTCAATTGTGCTGCCGTTGTTCAGAGTAATACTACAATGAAACTACAATAATACTACAATAGATACAATTTCTAAGCACGTAAGATACAGTTCTTCCTAGCTAGTCCGACAACCAAAATCATTTATTATTCTTGTAAAACCCGTTATGCGGGTCGTATCATCCCGATAATATGCAAGGTACAATTGCTATAACATGAGTGTTTATAATATTTCAATTAAAATATGGTATTTTTTCATGTTTCAAAATATATCGAAACTATATCATTTCCTTTAATTCATAACTTTACCTAAAGGGATCTAAAATCTAGGGATCCCTAGATCTAGGAATCTAATTTATACCTTTTAATAAATTTTCTTAAAACCGAAACATTTTCTTTAAACCGAAGCCATAACGTAGAGAGATCTAAAATCTAGGGATCCCTAGATCTAGGAATCTAATTTATACATACATGTTTAAAAAAAAATTATTAGAAATAGAATAACGTATTTTAGAATACTATACTCCACGTTATAAATCAATAATTCTAATTCTGATTAATTAAAAAATATTCCAGAAAAGAAAAATCTCCCTTTTTTTTTTCTAATTCATTCTCAACTCAATTCCATCCAGACAGAGAAGAGGAGGTCAATCGCGATCCGTGACTCGAAAATTTGAAAAATGGATTCGTCCGTCGACTTTCACTGTTCGCCCGGCCACTTCCTGTCCCGAAAGACCAATTTATCATCGATTCTTATTCCCCGCACGCGTCTGCCCCAACACAGGCGAAACACACGCGGCCACAAGCGTCTGAAATGGTACAACATTACCATGAGAAAATCTGACATTTCTGTATCGCGTACACGCTAACAACCACGCGTTACTTAACTCGTTACGTTGATACACGTCAGATCTTAGGCAACCGTGCACAATTAAACATGTACACACGCAACGAGCCTCCGCGAGGATTCATCAGCCTTCGAGTCTCCGCTATTGCGGACAGACGCTTCGGTCAGCTCGATTGTTTCCTAGTTTCGCTCGAGCAACTCGTACATCTCTCGTGGTTTTGCTTACTAGATAAAATAGAATTCGAATCGATTTCCTTTCGAAAAATAACATTGATAATCACTAATTTTGGAGATATTACAATGAAACTACAATAGATAAAATTTCTAAGCACGTGAGATACAGTTCTTCCTATATATTTTTAACGAGGGATTGGATAATAATTTTGAGGATATTCGTAGGATTAAAGTTACGCAAAAGAGTAATAAATTATATATCTATAAAAAAAAAAGTGATCAACGATTATAAAATCGAGAAAAGTTTTCTGAAAAAAGGATGTTTTACTTCCTTGTAAAAATTGTAATTAAAAGTAAAAGAAAGAGTTTTAGCAAGAAGCCATCAAACGGCTCTAACGAGCAGTTATTAAACACTTTGCTTTTCCTCTTCATTCAACAAAGTGATATAAACGGTAGAAACGGAGGAGGAGACGTCATCTCCATAAGAAGTCGTTTCCTTGCCAAGTTTCCGGTAAATTGTTTGACGTAAATGTCGAAGGGGATCGCAAGTGGATTTTCCTTGCCAATTATCGCTGATCGATCGATGTAATTGAGAATCATTTAACCGTGTACAATAGCGTAATTATTATATATATATATATATATATAAATTGTGAATAAGCTTTAATGTTAAAAAAAAATGTGTTTATAAAAGTATTTGTTCTCGTTTAAAAATTGTGGTGTTTAAAAATTAAAAAGTAAAATTGGATTATGAGGTCCGATCGAGATGAATGAATTCGAAGTAGTTCGAGGACGAAACGCGCGAACCACTTACGAGGAAAATTCGCTCGGTCGTGTCCGACCTATATCGTCTCGTACTACTTGCGCTGGAATCTCCATTTCGGTTCACGAAGCATTGAAGTAAATACTATCGTTGTCGTTGAGAAAATATTAGTCTTGCGAAGTTTTTAATAAGGATTCTAATATTATAATAATTATTTATAACATCGTTATTGAGAAAATAATTAATTGTTAACAAAATTTTTAATTTTTAGTCACAGTATTATGAGAAGAGATAATTGAAAAATTTATTACCATATAATTTTGTGATTATTAAAAAGAAATCTAATTGGACCAAATATGATTTAACGTATATCAGTTCTTTTGACGTAATAATCGTCGTTCATTCACGAGAAACAATTATTAATATTTACAAATAGAATGCAAGAAAAATTCTTTTTGCAGATATAATATAAATAATAATCTTCTTTATAATTCTAAATTATTATACAATATTTTGAAAATTGTGAATTTATACATTTATAATTTTATTTAAACAATGAAGATTCATATTGTTGTATAATTATAGTTTGAATAATCATTTGAAAAATATGTAATACGTTTTTTCGAAGGCCATTTTTCTTATTCATTATCGAATAACACAGATTAGAAGAATGTTATTTGGAAATTGAGGAGGAGGATTTGATTGAACCGTGCAATTTTCGATTAAATGACTCGAATCGATGTTTCTCGGAGTTCCATGTCATTTTATCGTGACCGAGAATCTTTATTTCTTTCAATTACGCTAACTACTCATTGCTTCCTCGATTCAAGAAGATATCGATCTCAGATTTCGAAGGACTGTGCGATAAATCACGATGAAAAACCCGAACGTTTATTAAGATGTACAATTTTCTAATTGTTGGATTATTCAAATTTTTTTAAAAATTTGAAAACGTTTTATAATTGTGACATATCTTTCAAGTATCTTTTAATAATTGAATTAAATTTCGTTTCTTTTAAATTATCGTTAACTATCGTTAATTATTATTAGCCATCAGAAGCAAGCGATTACGAATAATTGAATTTAATTATTAACCTTCAATAATATTAAATCACAGGATAAATCACACAGGCAAAGGTTTAATGAAGCAATAAGAAAATATTAAAATTCATCGAATTAAATTGAATTTATTTTTTTAAATAATATTTTATTTATCGATATTTATTATTTGTATTCCTTAATTTGAATATATATTATATTTCATATAAAAAAAAAATTATTTTTCACAAAGAATTGTCTTCTCATCCTTGTAAATAATGTTTATAAATTGCTGCTATTTAGTCGCAAGGGATATCCCATGGAATATCCCTAATTAAATTCCAAGCTTGAATAACCATGTTTCGCAACGTTTGGTCGTGTATTATATAAAATAGACAGAAACTCATTATTTTATACATCGTTAACTTTATTACCATCACTATGGTAATCGTTGCAACTCATTTCAATATAGATTAAATATCACGTTTTAGTTGGCCGATATATCTACAATGTTATGCAAAAATCTTAGATTTGCATACTATTTTTTATCAGTGTTCACCAGACTGATATAAATATTTAAATATTTCTTGTAGAAAAATTCTATAAATGTAATATAAGATGGGTGGATTTAAGAATAGATTCTTCGAGGCAAAA